GTACGTCCACGGACAGAGTTTGGCCGTAAGAGAATTACGTACCTAGGTACCAAGTTGTACAACGATTTACCATCAACCTTGAAAAATCTACATCGAATTGATGTGTTCAAAAAGGATTTGAGAGCACACTTGAAGCGGAAAATCACACAATATATTTTTTGAAAATGTTCCTTTTATTTTTGGCATTTATTTCTGGTCGCACCTGTATGATATGGAGTTGATTCTTCTGTGGAGCAAGATTTAAAGTTTTCATAATCATCGATCGACGACACCCGTTCATAATAACCATCATCAAATCAACATTTTGGCTGAACCCTGGTACTTAGAACCACCAACCATATAAATTAAAGTTTAAACTTAGTATCCACTTGTATGTGTTAGAATAAGTTTATTGTTTGAAAGTAGGCATCCCCTTTAAAGAGCCTTTGCTCACTGGGAGATGTATCATAAGCTAACCGATTAATGAGAACCACAGAGCCTAACCCCATCGGCATACAGAGAGCCCGGGGTAGGTGAAAGTTTCCAGCTTTCTTAGTTGGAAGTGCGAAAAAAATCTATATATAAAAAAACTCTGGCAGTAGCAAAGCGCAGCTTGATACATAAGAAGCATTCCTACGTCCTGCGGTATCTTACGAGCAAATAAGGGAAGAAATAATCGAAAAAATGGAAACGCGGATAAGTTAGTTAGTTTAGCTTTATTGTGAGCACGGATCAATTTTACTAGTTGGAGTACACTTCATGGTCGGTTTAAAATGGATGGAACTAAATTCATACACAGTCAATAAAACTCTGACAAACTCTTGTTTTAAAGTTATATGAAGAGATAGCTTCCTGGTGCCTTCGGGGTAGTTGTTAATTGTCCTCCTTTTGGTACAATTTGTCTTCCAGCGGGACACAGAATGGTCCTCTAAGCGATCCGGAACATCGGTAAAAGTGGTACATTCAAGAAATTGGAGTTAAAGCTGCGCAGTTTTTAGCGGAAGCACTTATTGGTGAGTTTAAAGAAAAAATATGGGGTTTTGGTCCGAATATGTACCCTGGAGCGCTAACGCTGGTTCATTGAAAGATCCGGAACATGCGTTAAAGTGGTCAATTCATTAAACTGGTTCTAGAGCTCCTTGTTGATGTGTTTTTTTTTAGGATTAATTTAACCTTGAAGCGAGAATATGAAGCATGGGGATATCAAACTGGTCCTCTGGAAGATCCGGAACATCCGTAAAAGAGGTAAACTACATAATCTGGTCCTAGAACTAAATGATTTTTTGCGCATTCATTTGTGACCAGAATATGCAACATATTGATCTTCTTTGAGATCAGGAACAACCGTAAAAGTGGTCAATTAATGAAACTGTGGTCCTAGAGCTTGTTGATGAGTTTTAATAAATGATTTGGCAATGTAGCCAGAATATGCTCCCTGAGGACCACAGACTGATTCTTCGGAAGATCCCGAACATCCTAGAGTTCCATGTTTTTTGCGCAAGCACTTTTGATCTGTTTTCAGACTGAATTTGGTATTAAGGCCAAATTATGCACCCAGGAGGCCACAAACAGGTTGTCCACATGATCCGGATTATCCATAAAGTGGTTATTTTCCAGAATGTCAAAGTTTTGAGATATCATACATGCACAAGCTCTTATGTACACTAGTGCCGTGTAGTGAGTAGGTCCCACACTTAGTGTCCATCATTTGAAATGAATTGGTTAGCTTACCAAGCTTATGTAGAAGACTGTATTTTCCTAGTAAGTCAGGATCTTGTGATAAAGCACATAGTAAATATTACATATGCAATAGTGCTGCGTAACGGGAGCATTCGCAACTAACCTGTTCTTCATGTGAAAGGCCTTGTCCACCGAAAAAACACTGTTGAGGACTGACCATTTCCCATGAAAGTCAGGTTCATGAGATATAAATAGCACATAGTAAATCTCATATATACACCATCCGAAAAACCTAAGTAACCTGAAAATGTTTGCCGAAGACAGTAACTTCCTATTTCGCCGGGGTCACGGGGTATTCCATTTTGGAACCAATTAAACCAAATCCCACATTCTACGTGTACTCCATTTACGTGATTCACTCGTGTAATCGGAATAACTCTAGAACAACGTACTGTGGACACGAGATGAGGCGCCCACTGTTGTGGCGACGGTGTGGCATTATACAACATGCCAAAAGATCATGTGGATGTAATGTGGCGTATGGTGAACCCCGACAATCTTTTTTTCCATGCTAGCAGATGCCACTCCGCGGCCATATCAGAAAATACCTTGACTAACGTTGACGTTCACCACAGGCAATGTTTCAGCATAATATTTTGACATGCCACATCGCCACCACAGTAGTGGAGCAGTAGGTGTCTGACATTAATCGAGGTGCCCACTCGTGTGCATGTTTAGCGGCGTGAGAGGAATGTTGCCATGATGTTTTGACATGCTAGTACATGCCACACCACCACAACAGTGGACGACGCTTTAACATTCCGATTAAGAAAATCCAGTGAAGAACATGGAGGGTACTAGGCATTATGTTTTGTTGGAAATCCTCTGAAATTGTTTTGAAGGAATATAGTAAATATTTCAATAATTATATATCTTAAGAATACATACGCAAAATAAGGAACCTTACAATACAAAATTTCCCCCAATAACCCACGTAATTCGATGTAGAAAGGTAATGTTCACTTTATGCAACAGCTTATGACCATCCATATTCAGTCCCTATCCGTATTCGGGTATCATCCAAACCATTTGTGGGATAGTATACCTTTTGGGGATACAGTTCATTTATGGTATTTTGTTTATTAGGGGTGTCATTACATGTTGCTGAATATAAACCGCCAGTTTTATAATGCGATACGCAGAAGTTTCATGAACAGAAACTAACGCACACAATCTATGCCGAATGGTACACACGAATATAAAGATTCTTTCGATGATACCGTCAGTAGTAAATCGTTTGTGTGAACGTATTTGATCATCGATGAAGAAAGATTAATTTTTCTCTATTTCTCTCTGTGCCAAGATTCGTCATCTCGCCGATACAGTTTACTTTACTGTCACATGGGGGTTCAACGGTTACGGAAATACATACTTACCTTACCTTACCAATCAGGCTAAGGCCTTGTTGTCCTCTGCTGTCCGAAGTAGTCGTCTCCACTCTACTCGATCCATGGCCACACTTCGCCTGCCTTGTATTCTGCGAAGGGTCCGCAGGTCACCTTCTACTTGGTAGATCCACCTTGCCCGCTGCGCGCCTCTTCTTCTTGTTCCTGTTGGGTCGCTTTCTAGAACCATTTTCACTGGGTCATCGTGTGGTATTCTTGCGACGTGCCCATGGATGGTTCTCCCAGCAGCTGGTGCAATTCGTGGTTCATTCGCCTCCTCCACGTTCCGTCATCCATCTGCACTCCACCGTTGATGGTACGCAACACCTCCACGAGCATAGTCCAAGTCTCGTGGCCGTAGAGGACTACCGGTCTAATCAGCGTCTTGTAGACAGTCAGCTTCGTGCGGCGGCGAATTTGATTAGACCGGAGCGTCCTCTGGAGTCCAAAGTAGGCACGATACCTTCCATAATGCGTCTTTGAATTTCTCTGCTGGTATCATTTTCGGCGGTCACCAGTGAGCCCAAATACACGAACTCATCGACCACCTCGATTTCGTCACCGACAATCTGAACTCGGGGTGGGAGGCTAATATTGTCTTCCCTAGAACCTCTTCCTCTCATGTATTTCGTCTTCGATGCGTTGATGGCAAGTCCAATCCGCCTAGCTTCAGCCTTCAGTCTGATATACCTTTCCGCTATCGTCTCAAAGTTCCCTGCCATGATGTCGATGTCATCGGTGAAGCCAAGAAGCTGGATGGACTTCCTGAAGATCGTGCCACTCGTGTCTATCCCAGCTCTTCTGATCAGACCTTCTAACGCTATTTTGAATAGCAGACACGAAAGTCCATCACCTTGCCTTACGGAAATACACGTGAATTATTCAGTGAACAGTGAAAACTTCAAACACTGCGTCATCTGAAACAAGCAGGGGTGTTCCAAAGTCGTGCTTAGACATTCTGGGACACCCTTTATCAAAAAATCAGCGATGTTTTTTTTTTTTGGTTTTGAGTTATATTTTTTTGAAATTATCAAATTTTGGGTTTTCGCTCATAACTCCTATGCGACTACCTGAGGAAGAACCGGTAACTAATCGATAACATATGAATATCTTAATATGGTATGAAACCTTATTTTGGTATGCATGTGGAATAAAACCATGTTTTGATATTATTAAGATATCGAAATATTTTGAAGTATATCAAATAAATACCAAAATATCAAAATGCGAAACGTTACACTCGCTGCTGATGATGAAAAGCACAACGAAAACAGTGTAGACTTCTGCAGTACGATCATGAGAAAAAGAGAAACGACAGAAGAAAATAAAAACAATGCCTGCGCATTGCAAGTTCGTCTTGACAGGCACGACTGTGTGAGTTACAAACAAAGCAGGCAACATTAAACGGAAGCTCACCAACACACTCACATTAGCAAGCAAAGCAGCAACTGCTTCAAAACGTGCACAGATGAGTGTCGTGATTGTCTGGAATGACCAGATCGGTGATGGATCACAACCGAAGACGACATTCACCAGTTGCAACTTGATGGATGGTCATGAAGAGAGCTTCGAAGAGCACATCGATAGGAATGTACAAAGCGTTATTACCATCAGCTGTTTGGCGATCGTGATTGTGATAGGTCGCAACTCTGATCATACCTGAATTTTGTATTCATACGTTATTTTCTCCTACTCGGGTGAACTACAATGCGTCTCCATTGATTAATAGCAACTGTAGCATAATCATTTAAAAAAAAAATTTGGGCCACCCTAACATGGAAATGACAAAATAATAAATTTTGCAATAAGGAACAAAACTACCAATTTTTATGAAATTCTGAAAACCACTACATCGTTTTGCTATGGAATGGCTGTATGTTGGGTGGTTCAAAGGTCAGCTGAAAAAGTCAGTAAAATTTCAAATTAATGTTACACGCAAGAAATCAATTAAATCGACAAATTTTATTTTTATCATTAAATGAGGTTAACTGAACAATGTCAGTTCCAATTCGGAAAAAGATTAAATTTTTTTGATTTTTTCTCTAATTTTTAAACTTTTGCCCAACAGTTCCGTAGTTCAAAAATTACCGATTTCTTCTTCTTTGATAAGGCACGATCCTAAATCAATTCGGGAAGAAAGTTCTGTCTGTTGGGCTACGCATAACATAGTGCTCACCGTACAATATTTTAAGTAATGTAAATGGTATGAAAAACTCTAAACTAACAACTGAGGAAGCATTTCATATCAGAATATCACTTATAAACCGGCCGAATCATCATTCGCGAACGCTTCAGGCCATACTTAAATCCTCGAAAGGCACTCCAGCTCATCATCATACCTGATTCCTCACTAGGACCAGGTTTGTATAAACCGTTGAGATTGCTGCAATGAATGTTCTATTAATCACACGCCGTGGAAACATTATTCACACACTCTACCCATCATGGCAAGCCTTAAACCACCATCCACTTTTGTAAAGAGATCCGCAGTTGGTCGTTGCGTGTCCATCATGATCTGCATCCATTGTCGAAAAGGATAGATGCTCCGCGATTTTGAAGGAGTCACCAGCATCTCCACTGTACGTCCCCAAGCTGTCCACCATGTAATTCAGCATAGGCCCCGTCATCGAAAAGCTACTGTATTTAGCAACAGCTGTCTTTCCGTCGACATCTTGCATCAAAATGTGCAACTCATGCTGTCTCGCAGCGACCAACTGATAGATGCGCTTCAATCCCAACCAAAACTCTCCCCGAAGGTCACCGAAACCGTTCTCGTACTCTTTCCAACCACGGTAGAAGTCGACCGATCCATCGAATCGGTTCTGTATTACGGTCCAGCCTCCTCCAGAGTAGTCTTGATCGCATAAAACCAGAAACTCATCATTGAAACCAAACTCCGGTTGAATACGATGAACGCCGGGCGATGGAACATTTGCACAGGTTTGAGGTGCACTTTCTACGTCGTTTAGCTGGGTGTCGTTAATATTATGCCAGGCAATGATAGCACTCGCCTTAGAAAGTAAAAGCCAGAAACAAAGTGTCGTTAAAATCATCTCGCTACGATGGATACACTACGACTGCCTTATGCCGTGCATTGAAGTTTATATTCGTCTGCTACCCGAAGCAAACTCGATTGTTCACTCACAATTGTATGATGATTGCATTTTCAGCTGTTTATGCAAGTAAATATTTGAGCAAGTCGACTTGATGAGCGGTTACCGTTTTGATTCCAATGTAGAACGCAAAAGAGCAATACTATCGCACATAAGTGAACTATATAGCATGTTCCTCTACGATTTGATTCCAAATTATTGACATATTTTCGGCTCAAAACTACTTTCAAAATTACATTATTTTGTTCTCAAAAACAGACGAAAAAAATATCAATGTTCGAAACCGTTGGTTGCGTCGGAATTTTGTCTAAGACAAAGATGATGGAGTTGCAGGGGATGAATTGAGTAAATTGCTCTAATTTAGATACAGCCTCTTTTGTGTAAAATTAGTTATTTTTCCTAAACAAAATCACAACGATGTTTGATTTGATAGTAGACAATAAAACAAAAACAGCGTGGGAAGAGAAACATGGCCTCATGGACTTGGAATAGTTGTGGAAATTACGTACAAATTCAAGAAATTTCGTTCAGTTCAGAAAACTTCTAAAAATTTCAGGAATCTTCCCCTCAGTTTAGGGAACTTCGTTGCAGATTGTCAGAGATCTTACCCCAAAAAAACTCCATGAACTTCTTGGAGGTTTTGGGAACTTCGCTAAATTTCAAGAAACTTTCTAGGTGTTCAAGAATATTTGTAGATGCTTAAGGTGTCTTTCCAGAAACGCAAAAATGTCAGAGATCTTTGTGGAAAAATATGGAATTTGCAATAAATTCAGGAAACTTCGTAGAAGTTGAGGAAATTTTGTAAAACTTAAGTTTTGTAGATGTTCTGGAAACGTTGCATAAGTTACAGGGATATTCTTTCAGACATCCTTCCTAGACAGCAGGAAATATTCGAAAGATCTGGATATTTGGTAGGTTGTAGGTTGATGAGCTAATGGAATCAGATGGAATCTTAAATGATGAATCTTGATTTTATGGTCATATTTGTACATTCTCTATAGGGAAGACCCGTGCCTTGGTGATTTAGCTATATTGTCAAAAATTTGCACTAAATTCCGGGCAGAAATTCAAATTTAAGGGTGTGCGTTATTGTTTCTCCAAAGATTCCGGCAGAGCTTGACATGAGTTAGTGAAAACATTAATAAAAACGGCTGAAAAGGACGGTACCGAAGAGATGGTTGTAAATGTTGTGCTTTGCAGGGCAAATGGAAAAACATTCAAAGTGGTCACGGTATTCAACTTGAAGCGGCATCTAGATCGCTGCTCCTCTCTCCATTTTCGCTGCAGCTGCTGACGGCATTCTAAGTGCCTTCCTCTCGACACATTTCATCGACGACATTCTCCACGTTGAGGACGAGCATCTCCCGTGGCACTGCCTCGAACCTTCGTCAGTCGAAGACCTCATGCTCCAGCGTTCCATCTACGTACCAACACTACGAACAGAGGAGTGACACTGCGTGTCCAACCCGATGCAGGTACTTCCTTAAGCAGCCGTGGCCAAACAGGAACTGCGATAGGTGGAAGTTGACGTCTCCGTGTTTTCTGTTCACCCAGGTCGAAACAATCTGTATTAGTCTACGTGTCCATCTACCGTTCTCCGCCGTGATCCACTCCTGTTGCCACTTAGCCAACGACTCCGCTCTCACAACTTTCCGTACTCTTCTGGCTTTTCTCCGCCTGTAGCACTTGCTTTCCTCCACCAGGGTGATGCCGCTTTGAGGTTATGGCATGTCCCCGACAATGATACCTGCCCGCTGTACCGCTTTACAGTTACTGGCCAATAGCACTTGCGTTTTTTGGATACAGTTACCAATCATGTCGATCGCCTCGGTTGCCAACACTTCCACCTCCCACAATGATCCTAATCGATCTCTGTCCCATGGTGCGCTGATGCACTTCCCGTATTAGCATTTCCAAAAGGTGCACATTATTGTTTCACCAAATTTTTAAAATAATTGACTACATACTGTACGTTAAGAGAAAAAGTAACCTTTAAAAAAATCTTTGTGTGCAACAAACTAACAACCAAAGTCTTCACATCTAAATGTATTAAATTTATTATGTGTGCACTTTACTTGAAACAGCCAGAATTTTATAAAATTATAAAATTCAAACTCTTAGAATTTAATTTTGATTCCTATGCCTGAGATTCGACTGATGGTGATATATTCAAAATCTAAAAAAAAAGCTATTTACAAAATTCATGAAATTACCTAACTCTGAGAGTTTTCTTAAGTTTGAGATGCTTACATTTACAAGATCCGGACTGTGATTTCATTACAAAAACCATGAACAAACGATCATTGCTTGTTCAAAATCAGCAAGCTCTCCCAATCGAGGTCCCAATCGTTGTTAAAGAATAAATATAATCAAATTTATTGTTTCGCCTTTAAAATAATATTAACCCTCAATCACAAAAAAAATTAAAGGGTTGTGTACTAGACACGACCGCAGTATGACGTAGAACTACGTAAAATTGATGTATGTCATGCATTTTTGATTATTATACTTTATCTTAAATTTTTAAAGTATTTCAATGTTTCGGTTTTCTAATCTAATCTAATCTAATCTAATACAAACGCAGCCAGTACGGGAAAGCATCCTGGAAAATGATTAGGTTAGGTGAGGTCTAATCATTTTTCTTGTCTAATTGATGTTTACAGCATACATGAGATATGATATAAACATCAATACGGCCAGGCCTACTGCGTTGTATTTGCCACAAAGATGATTCTTTGTAATGAATGGGAACATTTCTTGAATCTACAGGGGTGGAAGGATGCGTGGACATGCCGTACCAAACGCTCCGAGTTACTATGTGTAGTTCTGTGTAATGTGTAAATATGTGTACAATATCGAAGAATCATAAAATATGCAATCGAAGGATCTTACCGATTTTTTTCCTATGTTGGTAATGATTCTTTTGCGCTTCAAAGTTTCATTGGATGCATCCGCTACTTGTTTATCATGGGGTGTGGGATGCAGTTCCTCGTCATTGCTCGTGGTTATCTTTAGTGATGTGATGGAGATCATTTCTTTCACTAGCAACTACTACTCCTGGCTGATCCGCCAGCCTTGCATCGAGCTGGAACCGCAAGCAAGCAAATCAATTGCCGTCCTTCGTTGTGAGTGGTTCCGATATATACGCGCCCATTTTGGCAGGCAGCAGCACTTAGCAGGAGAAAATTTGCACGTTCGATTTTAACCTACTTCCAGTGGATATCACCGTTACCTCCTGGACTTATTTTGTAACTTACGGCTTCTGGATCGTTAGGCACTAAATGTAAATAAACCCAAACGGACACGATTCAACAGCGTACATTAGAAAATTCAGCGGAGATCTGCTTTTTTGCAACGTTTCACGGCGGTGGTAATCTTAAAAACTCTTTCGATCCTATTTTTTTTTTAAATAATCAAACACAGCACTAATATTGAAAAAGTTTTCAGGTGTCCAAAATGCACCAGCTAAAGGACTTATTGCACTAAATTTTCAATAAACATCTCGGTAAATAAAGCAGCAGCAAATTCAAAACACGTCAGTTTCAATGCACGGCCTACCTCGATCTCAAAGTATTTCAATGTTTCGTTATGGTTCAAAACTCGCGACAATTCATGTATTTAGGATCTTTGCCAGGCTTGTGTATTGGAATCCCTTTGGCTAACTTCCAGCATGCAGGGAAATAGCCAAGCTCCAAACATTTGTTGAAGATAAGGATAAGATGGTTGAAGAAGTCAATACTTAAGTTTTTCAACTTGAGGTTGACTACACCATCCATACCCGCAGCCTTCATATGTTTAGTGCTTCTAATAGCTGCTATCACCTCATCAGCCGATATTCTACTATGATCATGCACTACTACGGGGGTGTCAGCGACTCTAGACATTGCATCTAGTACGGCAGGCTCATGGGGGCTCACCATGGTTTGGCCAAAATCACAAAATGTTGGCCAAGAGCAATGGCCTTTTCTACTGGGGTAATGCTCCCAACTGATGATGACGTGAAACAGGTCCCGGATTTTGGATCTCAGAGCCGCAAGACTGGTGGATCCCTTCGTGAAGTGCACCAAGAACAAGTGGTCACGGAAGCTGGTATTGTTGATGGAACGGCGGTTCATCTGGAACACGGCCTCAGGTTGGAGCCCAAGCCGCTCTAGCTCGGACTTCACCGCAGTCACCTCGAAGGACGGTAATCCACGCAAAACCGCCAGCCGATGGCAGATCATGCGTGAAGAAGTCCACGTTGTTTTCCTTCAGGAAACATCCTATTTGTTTGTACTCCTCCAGGCTGGAGCACATGATTTTGGTACCGATGCTGCAAAGCTTGAAGCGTGGCAGCAGCTTGTGTTTTGCCAGTTCGGCACCTAGCTTGGCAACATCCTTCACCGGCGTGAAAAGCGGGGGAATTCGCTCTTTTCTTGCAGTGGGAGTAGCGTCACCATCGCCATTTTCTTCCGGGAGTACTGCATACTGGTTGGCTTGCAGTACTCGTTTTCCGGCGTTATCCTGCGACGCGCTGGACTTGATTAGCACCTTCTTTGAAGGGCCCGCTGCTGGCTATTTGGCACGTTTACGCACCATTTGTTTCGTGTTTGCAAGTTCAAGTAAACTTGCCAGAACGCGAGAAGGTGGCGACACTTCCACGGCGCAACGCGACAGCACAAATCAAAACATAATCGAAACGAGATCTCGAGCGAAAAATACGGACTGAACAGCTTAACAGTCGAGCAAAGAATGAGCAGAAGTGCGACAGCAGTGCTATTTTATATCTTTTCAGAAAGATGTGCAACCAAGTGGTTCTCGATTACGATGACTGGGTTTGGAAAAAACGTTTATTTCATGAAAACAGTGATAAAATTATCATTTGTACATTTTTCAAAAGTTTTATTACAGAAAAATTAGAAATTTTTTTATTTCAGCAGTTTTGTAATGTAATATCCTATCGATTGGCG